TATTGATGGTATGAATGTAATCGATTGTTCAGTGGCCTTTTCAAAATCCTGCTTGTTTTTTTGGTTGATTGAATACTATTGTCTTAATTCTGTTAGCAGTAACCTTGTAAATAGCTTGTATACGATGGAGAGCAAGCTGATCGGCCTGTAGTTCTTCAAGCCCTTGTCGTTCCTTTTCTTATGGATTAAGACTATGTTAGCATACTTACAAGATTCTGATACCCTCCCCATCAGAAGGCACTTGGTAAACAGGGTGACTAGTTTTTCTAACACAATCTGTCTTCCGTCTTCCAGCATAACTGATGTTACCTGATCCTCACTGGCAGCTTTGCCTCTTTTCATTCTCTCTAAGGCTTTCCTGGCCTGTTTTGTCTTTACTGGTGAGTGGGATTTTTAATTAGGTTTCTCGTGTTCTGGGACAGCTTGCTAGTGTCCTATTTAACTACCGTACCTCCAACTTTCAGTGGGCACTCCATAATGATACTCGTCAGATTAGTATTTATTGCGTCAACGCTATGACCAGTTTCCTATATAAGAGCCGAGTATCTGTTTGAAGGGAGAGACTGAATTCCTGTACTTTCCCTCTTAGTGCTAGCTCATTGATTAGCTTCTTGTGTACCTGTTTTGGTCATTCCTTCTTTGGGTATAGGTGAATTCAAGACGTTATCATTCTATGGCCACTGCATCGTACCTTGCCAAGCACTTTCACATCTTGCACGATGTCTGGGTGTGCACTCAGTATAAGGTCTATTTCGTTCTTACATTCGCCATTAGGGCTTCTTCATGTCCACTTCTGGTTCACTCGTTTTCGGTAGAAGGTAGTCAAGATCCGTAAATTATTGCATTCTGCGAATTTTACTAACAACTACCCTCCGGCATTTCTAGTACCGATGCCATCACCTCTAATGCCTGGTCTCCTCTTCTTGCTTGCTTCTTCCCTACCTTGGCATTGAAGTCGCCCATCAGTATGATATACTGTGTTTTTGCCTTACTCAGTGCCGATTCCACTTCTTCATAGAATTTTAAACGAATACCTCATTATGGCTGAATGTAGCCGCATAAGCCTGTACCACTTTCATCTTGTATCTTTTATTGAATTTAGTTATAATACCTAGCACCTTTTCGTCAATGCAATAGTATTCCAGGTTTATGTTACCAGCTATATTTCTGTGGATAAGGAGCCCCACTCCCAGTTCTCTTCTGTCAGCCAAGCCTCGATAGCAAAGATGTACCCATGCTGTAGTACAATATAGCCCTCACCTGTCCTAATCTCACTGAGCCCTATTATATCCCATTTAACACCCTCTAGCTCCTCAAATAGCACAGCTAAACTTGCCTCACTACATAAGGTTTTAGCGTTAAACGTTACCACATTCAGGTTTCAATGGCGGCTTCTCCGGAGCCAGAGGTTCTCAGCACCCTCTGCTGTGTCGCAGATCTGACTACCGCTGTGGTCAGTTGCTTCGCAGCCGCTGAGGACTGAGGGCCAAGGGTTCATTGTTGTGTCGATATGGGAGTCAGCGGCCAGATATTGCACCAGAATGGCTAATCCTTCTCTGGTGAGGGTGTGCTTCGGTGGTGGTCACAGGTCAGATGCCACAGCCCAGGCCTCTTAGTGCAATTCTATGATAATGTGGAAAATTTTTTTAGTCCGGTGGGTAATTAGGTGGCACCGGGATATGAACCACGAACCTTTTGCACACGAGGCTGATCGCTGCAACGTTGAGTGTATCCTCAGTACCCAAAAAAGAAACACCAATTTATGATTCATTAACACTGTTTTTTTCTTTTTAATGCAGTTGCTGAACGAGTCAGAGTGCAACAATCTTAGAATGACTGAGCAGATCCGGGTTCTCAAGGAAGAAATACGACGACATGAACGCAACTATGAAAGACAAAAGCATGCTGTTAATCTTGAGTATCTTAAGAACATTATCATGAAGGTAAGAAACTTATTCTTTGTGTTATTGAGTGGTGTTGTATCGCTGCCTGTTGAGGCACAGTGAGAATTAGCTTCTGCAGTTAGATATGGTTGCTGGTGGTGCATTTGGCATTTAGATGCAATGATGGAAGTGGTGCAAGAACGGACCCATTTTGCACAAAAACCTTTACTCTCTGCCAACTTGTATCAAAGGGTTCATATTGATTTAAGTAACTAAATTTGACAAGATAAGTGTGTGCACTGGCAACCGTGAAGGCACGGGTGTGATTGCTAGCTGTAGCTGTCGTATCCAAACCTGCGAACGCTAAATGGATCGTTTTAAATACCAGCATTCTTGGAGTGCACATATTCTTTGATGCATGTATTACAGCTGTGAAGAGGTGACATTGGGTGCAGTCATTCAACTCCTGCGCCAAAGTGCGCCAAATGAAATTTACTGCACCAGTATGATAATATCAGCGAAATTTACGCCGAAGTTGGAATTCCGAAGCATCTATCACAGGCACTAGCCAAACCGCTGCGTCAAAACGTATGCAGCTTGTTCTTAGGGCCACCAAAGTCACAACCACGTACAATGGTGAGTACTGCACTTTGGCGCGGCAAAGCGCCCATATGTGCTTTTTGAAGCGGCGAGGCGGTGAGTGTGTGAACTTGTTCAGACCGCATGCCTTCTTCATATGGCTGTACGGCAGAAGAGGCGGGCACCTTGTGCTTTTACGTGCATGTCGTCACATGGCAATGCTTCGAAGGTACATCGTCGTGCCTCCACCGTGTGGTGTTCTGATTGCTGCGGCAAAGCGGCGACTTCAGCGGGCGGCAAAAAAACTGGTCGGGGGCAATCGGCCTTTCTGCTTGGTTTTCCTCCTGCTTTTGCTGCCTGGCCGCCCTGAAAAGACTTTTTCCTGCTCTCCACGTTGCCATTTCACCGCTTTGGCCGCTCCGCCTTCGGTGTGGAACGAGGCTTAAGAGTGCTCACCGCGGTACGTGGTTGTGGTTTCGGTGGCCCCGAGAACAATCTGCACATGTTTTGACGCATCGGTGTGGCTATTGTCGGGGATAAAACGCTGCAAAATTCCAACTTTGGCGCCATTTTCATTGATATTATCATAATGGCGCAGTAAATCTAATTTGGCGCACTTTGGAGCAGTAGTGAAACCACTGCATCCTGCGTCACCTTTTTACAGCTGTAATACATGCATCAAAAATATGTACACTCCAAGAATGCTGGCATTTAAATGATCCATTTAATGTTCCCAGATTTCAACACACAGCTGCAGACTAGAAAACACACCCGTGCCTTCACGGTTGCCAGTGCACCCCACATGTAAATTTAGTTACTTAAATTGATATGAACGCTTTGATACAGGCTGGTATAGTTTAAATGTTTTTGCGCTAAATGGCGCCATTGGGTAGTGAACCGGCAAGCACGTGGGGGACCAGCACTATCAGCGCTGCGTAACATCCACCCTCAGAAACATTGCACTTGCATAGCATGGGCTCTGCGATACACTCTTTCCACCACTCACCTCATGTCATAGGAACGCTTGTTCATCGTCTTCTGGCTGCATCTTTGTCAGCTAAGCTGGCATGTCGCGCATTTCAATATGGATCTTAAACAAGAATTTGAGCATGAATTAAAAAAGAAAAACGAATAGGAAACCCTTTACATTTCTACTATTAAAAAAACTGCAAAGAAGGAAATAACTTAAAAAGCACAATGCATCATCTTAGAAGACAAATGCAGCTAGCAGACGATGAACAACATATCTATGACGGAGTGCGAGTGCTTGAAAAAGTTTATCGCAGAGCACATGCTGCGCATGTGCAATGCTTTGAACGATGTGTGTTATGTGGCGCTGATAGTGCTGTCGGCCACGTGCTCGCGTGTTCACCTTAACAGTGCTCACCGCTGTACCTAGATTTATTATGCTGAATAAACAGCGGTCACAAGTGCATCTCAGGTAATCCACGAGGCTCTGCTTGGTGCCGATGCAACTTTTGTTGTGCAAGGGAACTCAATGGCAAAACGTGCTCTCCGTAGCTCTGGGCTCGTGACCAGTATTCTAATAAGTAGCATGTAACGCTCTGCACGTAACTAGAGCAGTTTCACTAATAACCGCATGCATGCCTGCCACCAGAATGTCTATTTTCTGGAAATCGAGGTCCAATTTTTATGCTCCGTGTCCACAGAAGAACACGCGAAGGTGAGAATGCGTCGACACTTTTCCTCAAATTCGCTTTATCCATCTATGTTAATCTAGAAGAGCCTTTTCATAATTCCTTCCAGCTCATGTGTGTTCGTAATCGCTATTGCGGTAAATGCCCCTAATAAACCGTACACCGTACGGTAAGGTGTTCGGGCTTTAGCATTCACGAGTTCGAAAGAGTATAGTGCCCTTTCGAGCTCATGAATGCTAAAGTACGAGTACAAAATTTTTGCATCTTTTAGATGCGGAGCATCTTATACTCGCGCCTTGTAGTGCGCCGTCCGCACCGCTTCTCGAACATTCGACAGCTGACGCGCGCGCATGCGCCGTCGCGCCGTCGCCCACTCTTCCACCATCTGTGCATCCCTTCCTCCTCTACACACCGCGCGCGCTTCACTCCTCCACCATCTGTGCACCCTTCCTCCTCTACACACCGCGTTCGACATCTACAATTCTCCTGATTCTCCAGTGGACGCGCATGTGGCGTCGCGCTTCGAGAACATTCAACAGCTGACAGTGCATGCGCCGTCGTGCTGTACATATACTCAAGGTCGGCGCTCGCTCGCTCAGTTGCCGCTCGTCGGTTGGTTTGTACGGCGCGTCGACGTCCAAGGTCGCGGTGAAATGAATTCCAACGAATCCACAAACACAATGATCGACGTCCCTTCGACCAGCGCCGCCCTTTCGCATACGTGTGTACGTGTTCACTCATTTAACACCCCCTCCTACAACCACGTTAACCAATTTAGCCATCGACCCAAGTAAGTCGCAATTTAACACCCCATTTCACAACCACGTAACCAATTTAGCCATCGACCCAAGTAAGTCGCACTTTAACACCCCGTTAACCAATTATATGGTCCGCATCCTCCTCAGTGTTCCCCCGAGGGAAGCTGCGGGCAATTTTTTTCTTTTTTCCAAATGTTATCTCATAATGACATATGCAACCAATGCAAACTGACCCCGGCTACGCTTAGACACGTGCTCTGGGAGTGCACTACAATGTATAACGATGCTAACCACGATGCTACTTCAGCAAGGTGGGTGGCTGCCTTGCGTAGCTCCAGCCTAGTGGACCAGAAATAGGCTATCCAGCAAGCCCGCGATGCGGCTGTTAGGCTAGGCCTCTCAGTCGCAACATTGGAGTCCCGAGCATGTTCGCGTGCCTCTTGCAGGACATTAGTAACTGTTATTCCATTCATTCATTAATAAAAATATGCCTCCCGATCAGAGCAACTGCAATTTGGTTTTAATACATGCAGCTTTCTCATCGCTGACGGCTTTGCTGGAAAAGTGGCTACGCCATGTTACTCGTACAGCCCTCGCTTTCCATGGTTAATAAATGGCAGTAAAGAAATAAATATCACAATATCGCATTCATTGCTTCCTGTAGCTTCGTTTTAGGGGGTGGGAAGCTGCGTTTGTTCAAAGGGCGCGATTGCTGGCGCTCGCTATCTCCAGTCATCATGAGACTGCTTCTAATCATTCAGTGCTAATAAGATCTGCTTCGCGCTTAAATTACTAACAAAACGTCAACCGCATTGGCACCTTGGGTGCCCATTAGCCCCGAGAACGAACACTGGCATCGCTGCTGTCGCAGCGATGTGATGTCATGGTAAGAGCGCTCCTGCTCCGCTTTTCGCCCTTTTCTGCGCCCGCCGTGTTGTAGCTCTTTAGCGAAAACGGTCGTCATTACTCTTCAATATTATGATGCAAATTTTTGAAGTTACTGATAAGTGGAAGAATCCATAACTAGTCAAAGTTATTTAAGCTGTACCAAGTTTAGATAATATACCTAGGATAGGCAAACTCCCGTCCGAACGAGAGATTCACAGGGAAAATTGGATGCTGAAGTTTGTTGTTTTCACTGCCCATTTCAACAAATTGGTGCTATGAAAATATGCTCGGTGGATTTAACTTCAACACAACTAGGCCTGAGCTTTGTGGTTAAAACATGCGTACTAAAATATGACAAATGGAATTTGGGTGTATTGTATTCATTAAGTGTATTGCACTACAGCATGAATATTCTGACTTCTTTTGCGAAAAAAATAAATATGTAATTTGACCGAATGGCGTTTTCTCCAAAAGGAGACTTCACATGAATCTGTTTCTCACATACACAAAAACTAACATACACACAAAAGCCTAACATACACAAAAAATTACACAAACTAATGAGGCACCACACACAATGATTTCGGAAAAGCTTTAACCTTTCTTTACTCAGATCCTATGCACAGATTTCTTATCAACAGTCACCAAGGATTATGTAGTTGTAAACTATGATTTGCATGAAATGCTAGTCTGATGTACTGTCCCGCCACAAAGGGTAATTTTAACTTCAGGCACGAGTACCGCAGATATCAATGTTTGCAAAACAAGCGCTATGGTTCATATGAACTTTCTCAATGGCGCAGTCAGTTATGACGTAAACCGCGTTATAATTAAACATCCTTCGCCTCACTGAGGTGACAGCTGGTATTGCACGTCATGTCTACCGACAAATTCATGCTGAATAGTGATAAACTGAAAAGAAAACCTATTCACAAGGCGGCTATTTGAAGTGATACCGTAATTACTCGAATCTAACGTGCACCTTTTTTCCAGTTAAGCGAGTTCATAAATCGCATGCGCGTTAGAATCGAGTACGAAAAAAATGAATACGGTCATTCTATTGCCATCGGCATTTCCAAAATGGCCGCCCCCTACGAGCGTCGCCTTGGCACATCGGCCATTTCTGCCTATGTGTTTCCCATGTGCGGCACTTCGTACGTGTGCTGAGGAGTTCGTC